ATTCCGACCTGGCAGAAGTTTTACATATCATATTGCAGCTCTCACTACTTACATTGAAAAAGGGTTGTATAATAAGAAAAAGACAACAGCCGTGCTCATAGATAACAGCTACATATGACGCCGAATAGATGCAGAACAGTCTATTGTTCAAATATCTGAAAACTACCAAATGTCTGACTTTTTAAAAGCTGTCAAATGAAATGTGTAACGAATTCATGTTTTGCAGTTCATATAGGATAGTCCAGAAGCTCGACAAAACAACTGAATAATGGACTTTCCCAGGATTCAGTACTGGCGCCCACTCTTTTCAATCTATACATCAGCGATTTACGGGCTACAACCTCTCGAAAATTTGCATACGCCGACGAAATCACGATAGCTACACAACAAGTACAATTTGAAAATAATGAAGACATACTCGATCAAGATCTAGAAAAACTCCAAAAATTCTTCCAAAAGTGGAGCCTAAAACCGAACATAAAAGAAACGGAAGCTACAACTTTCCACTTAAATAACAAACTAGCAAAATACCAACCAACTATTATATTTGGAAACCAAATACTAGCATATTATTCTACCTCTTTCTTTTACAAGATGGATTCGGCGAACGCCTGGACGAGCCTCCACGCCTTCCGGCTCCTCAACATCAGGTCCACCATGGACCCGACTCGGAACGTGGACCCTAGTCGAGACTCCAAAGAGTCCCGTTCCTGGACCCACGCCTCGCACCGGAAGAGGGTGTGCAAAGCGCTATCAGCCTCTCCCGGGCGATCCGAAGAGTGGTCGCACGTCTGCGCGGCTGCTTTACGAATACGATGTAAGTACTCATTAAATGTCCGGTCCAGCCACCTGTCCAGCCGATCGGGTCCTATGAGGGACCTGGTACACTCGCCTCTCGTCGTTTCCTCCGAGAGGCGAGTCCGCCACCGGAGCATGGTCATCCGCCTGAGCACTAGCCGGTCCTCGGGTTCGAGGGACCGGTTGCGCCTCGGCGGAGTTCATGCCCGGCGGCGCGTTCTTCGGCGAGCAGGTCGGCGGGCGGCAATGATGACAGGATGCCCGCCGCCACTCCGGACACCGTTCGGTACGCTGAAACTGTCCGGATCGCCGCCCGCCTCTGCACCCTGAGCAGGGTTTTTACGGTATTTCACGGTTTTTGGACGAATACTCATGAGTATCCGCCCAAACCGGGGACCCGTACAGGAGGACCGACTGTTCGGGCACGAGTATTGTGCGGTCCGAACTTTAGACGTTTGTCTATGACAAGGCCCAGATAAGTCATGGAGTCCTTATGCGGGATCTCCACCCCCAGCACGGCGAGCCATGGAGGAGAGAACTTGTACCTGCCCGTGAACAAGACCGCTTCGGTCTTGTCCAGGGCGAGGCTCAGTCCACTCCCCTCCTGCTGGATCCAGCCTTCTCGGACGAGGCGCCTTCCGCCACCACCAGCGTGTCGTCCGCGTAGCAGACGACATGCACGTGCGGTGGTAGCGGAACGCGGGACGCCTCCCGTAACAGGTCTGATTCTCGGGCCCGCGGCGCTCTCGTAAGAGATGACCCGATCGCTAAAGTACGACCGGATCATCCACCCGAGGTAAGGAAGCACCCGAAACGTGTCCAGCGCTCCGAGGATGTGTGACAATCGCACAAGTTGAACGCGTTTCGGATGTCCAGGCTCACCGCCACCCCGAAGCCTTGCTCAGTTTTGGCCCTGAGGGCCAAGTCCCTCAAGAGGGAGGCCGCATCGTCCGTCGACCTCCCCCTCCTGAAACCATACTGGCCCNATCGTCCGTCGACCTCCCCCTCCTGAAACCATACTGGCCCTCGGCCAGGTGGGCTTCTATCCGGGTGACGAGCAGGCGCTCGAGTATCTTCCCCAAGTCGTCCAACATGCAAAGCGGTCGGTATGACGAGGGGAGACCCTCGGGCTTGTAACCCTTCCTCAGAAGCACCAGCCTGGCCTTCTTCCACTTCGTGGGGAATTCACCCTCCGAGAGGCAGCGGTTCGCGACGGCGCGTATCCAGTCCGGGGCGAGGTCGTCTACCAACCCCCACACCCGGTTTGGAATCGCGTCGGGGCCGGGAGCTGTGTTCAAGCCCTGCACGCGCGCCACCGCGTCAGCCACCTCCTGAGTGGTGAATACTGCCCTTTCCATCACTTCCGCCTCCAGCTAACCGGACACGTGCGAGTGTAACGACGGAGACACCAGCGTGACGTCCACCACCGAGCTCGAAGAGTGACCCTCGAACGTTAGGGTGGAGCCCCTGTTGGCCGAGACCAGCCCGAGGGGCGACATCAGGTCCAACAGATCTTCGCCACGCTGATTCGTGTCTGCCGGCCCCCAGACCGGGGATTGGGCGTTGAAATCCCCGGCTACTATTTCCCCGCGCCTGTCCCACGGCCGCCCGAGCCTCCTTACCCGCAGGCATGAGGACAGGGGCTCAAGGAGTCCGGCGATCGGCAAGTTGGGCAGCGCGTAGCAGCTCAAGACGTCGATGCCGTCTATCCTCGCTACTACGTTTCCGTCGCCCGACTCGATGTCCGCGACCCTTAGGCCGCGGTCCATCACGCCGATCGCCGCTTTGCTGGACCGGTCCAAGAACCAGCCGGCAGAGTCCCAGACTGATCCGGCGTGTGGGATGATGCACACGTCGGTACCCATCTCGTACGCCGCCTGGCGGACCAGGTCCTGGGCAGCCCGACAGTGGTTGAGATTCGTTTGAAGGAATCTCATCCACTAGTGAGCTGCGTTCCGGGAGACCCCTCAGCCATTCCTCTAGTCTTCTTACCCGGAGGGCCCTTTTTACCAGGCCCCCCTTTGTCTTCGGAGCCTTTTAGACCGGCCTCACACCCGGACAATCCTTTGGCCCTCCTTTTTACAGGAGAAGCACCCCTTGGACTTGTCCGGGCCCTTGCAGGTTTGGGCCACGTGCCCGTGCTCCAGGCACCTGTATCACCTCGGACCCTTGTCTCTAAGGATCCTCAGCCTACAGGTAACCCATCCCACACGGATACGGGCGAGACCAACTTGGGGAACCTCAACTGAAACACTTAGAACATTCGTATTAGCTTTAGTCAACTCAGCTGCAGAATACGCTGCTCCTGTATAGCTTAATAGTGCATACAGTTCTAAAATTGATGTACAACTTAATTTTACCATGCATATCATTGCAGATGTAGTAAAAACTACCTCCATTCAGTAGCACCTAGTATTATGTCATGATATACACAGTATATCATTAATGTCATAATGTATAATTTAAAACTACAATTAATCAATCACACAAAATGATATGTATACCTATAAAAATAAGATATATATATATATATACATTTTAAATGTTTAAATATACTAATGAAATTTCGTAGAAAAAAGCATATATTTATTATACATGTATAAAAGAAACAGGAAATAATAAACAATATGTAATAATAATGTGTTAGACATAAGGTAATACATAATGTGTAAGATTTTATAGAACAAACTGTAGAACATTATGAAATGTAGATCATTTATGATGAAAATGTAATAAATTACGATTAATAAAGAAATAATGGTAGCGTCGGTGATCACTTCTTGCCTTTGAACCACAATCAAATTTAATATAAAAAGTCAAAAATAAAGAGCATGCTGAGACAGATGCAGGCAGATATTCATAGAGGCACTCACTACGCTCGATCATTCCACATAACGAAATATATGCAAGAAGTGATCCGCCGTCATCAAATTATATTTGTACAAAAAATACAACATCTATTTATTTACGAGTGTCACAGAAAATATCAAGGTAGGAAAATAATAATTTCGCCAAAGTATATATAAGGTTTAGAATTAAATTTTATAAGTACATAGATTAAGTAAGTATACAGGAAAATCAAGTGATCATCAATAATAAGAAATATACCAAGTAAATTTAATAAAATTAATAATGTTTGTACAGAGTTATTTGACAGAGTTATATCTTTAATATGTATCTATTTCAAGAGTTAGGTTGGAGTTTCGTATGTATTGCTACCATACCACTCTGGGTAAACACACGAGGTGACTCAATCCCGCCTATCATCGATAACCGTCAAAACTCGTGGCATTTTTGATATTTAACTTTCAAAGTACTCCCTAAATTAACACAAGTAATAACCCCCTTTAAAGTTACATATACATCCACTCCATATTCGACGTTTGACAGTTACTGCAAGAGAGTGGTCTAAATATACCCACAATGATAAACTCCCAATACATAAAGATACTCCTATGAACTGCACGTTGTGACTCAAGTCGAGGAAGCCTGTCTGTTTAACAGCGAAAGACCTCATTGAAAACTATTTCAATGGAGAGAATGACTGGAGAACAAATTGGAGCCTATCAAATCTTGACAAAAACTAATCAAGGACCCATTCTCCTAAGTGAAAATGTGTAGAAATGCTATTCAAATGGGGTATGAAAGATTCTCTTGCGTACGACTGCAGCCACCTGTCTTAAACGATGGAGCATATCATGGGACATTGCCGATCCGAGCTTTCAATGGAACAATTAACGATATCTACAGTCTTTCGGATACGGCTTTGGCCTGGCTGGGATCACTCGATGTTCTCCTATAAAGGGCCACGCCACTACACAGAAGTTACCATATGTCTTACTAATTATATTATATCTTTATTATTTTATTTTTATATTTTATTTTGATTAAGTTTATTTTTTAATAACTCTATTGAGTTACAATGCTTATTAAATACCATATGATAATAATAATAATAATTGAATCCTTGACCATCACTTAATTGTTAATACTGTTTACTTATTTAACATTATATTTTGATGTTTTTATTATATCTATATTTTCTTACTATTGTTTTGGGTACTGTATATTAATTTTTATTTTAAGGACATTTAAAAACGCAAATGTCATATTTCGTATTTTTGATAATGTAGTCCTTATATAATAATACATTTTGAGATGATCTATTTTAATTAAATATATATATAATTAATATTATTTACCTAGCTAGTTGTAATCGAAGTGTTGTTCTTGGATGATAATTCTCTAAAACACCTAAACCTTCAAATGCCATCGGAAAAACATTGCTAATTAAATTCGTGACAACTGTGATTTCATTTTTTCTCCATAATGTCGACTCAGCATCTGGTTCCATAGATCTTGCCACAGCCCACATAACAGCGTATGATGAACTTCCAAGCATCCATATCATATTTAGATTAGCAAATACTCTTAATGCCATCACCTTCCAACTATATTTATAATATTTTAGCTTGAATATTAAGTGGAAAAGGTATTACTTAATAATAAAAACTCATACGAAGCATTACTCAAAATTCAGAAAAGTTATTTAGATTATTTACGGATGTATTCATGTCTTTAATTGAAAACATGGCCTCTATTGACGCAATATTCATTTCTAAAATGAAGTGATGATTATTATTACAAATAAACGATATTAAGTAACTCAAGGGAATTAATGCCTCGCGACTTGTTCCATCTGATTGTTTTAGAATGCATTACGAGAAAAAAAAATGCTAGTAGCTACGAAGTTTGAGAAATACAAAGGAATATCTTTTACTTGTGCTGGAGGTATCTTCAAAAGCCTAATTTCAAGATCATTGTGCTTTAAGATACTTAATTTTGTATCGAGTTTGATGTTATGAACTATTGCACAAGTCGTGCTGATCCAGCACATTGCTTACCACTCGACTTGTAAATATTCGGATCAAATATTATTGATAATAATTAGTCGTAGTTCCACCGTCGTATTACTAAGTGAATTTACTACTATTACTACTACTTACTATTCTATTATTGTAATTACAATAAATCAACAATAGTATTAAGTACTGAATTTTATCTTATAATCTTCTCACTAAGTTTAAGAATTAAACAATAGTACATCAGACGACTTGACACTCGCTGATAACTCATACACGGTAAGACTAACACACAGAATCTGTGACATCGGAACAAACCGAGGTCACAACATCAATAGAAAGCAACAGAACAACAATATTTAAATTTATTATATAAAATACATACGGTATAAAATAATTTTTTTAAAAATCATACTTTCGGTTGTCTTTCATACGTTCAGCCTCTTCAAGCAATGCTTCTTTAAATCCTAGTATAATAGAAGATATACGATTAAGCGCTGTTTCTTCATTTCCGATCATATAGTCCCAACCAGTGAATAGTTTCCACGAAAAAACACATTCGTCATCTTTTTCTGATAATTTACTTAGTCTTGAGTTTGCTGCCATTCTTAAATAGTATTCCGATTACACTAATATTATTAAAATGAGAACTTAATTTAAGAACCTACTTCCTTAATGTTGCAACAAAGCTATATATATACACCACTAGACCAACAATAAAGTAAGCTGTAGGCAGTTGGTAACCAATGTCCAAATTCTGTCTATTTGAATAATACCCGTAAAATAAAGGTGATTGTAAAAACACTCCTTCAACATTAATAAGTGTTGATAATTCTATAGACTTAATATCTTCTTCAGGTAATAATGTTTTCCTTTCTCCAGTATTATCAGCATTGGTTGTTAGAACCTAGGAAACCCAAGAAATTAGAAAATAAAAATATTTTGATAATGATAAACTTACTTCGGGTATAATTACAAAAGCCGCTAAAAAAACAGATATTACAAAATTTACCCAGAATAACCACCGAAGAAATGTGAAATAAGAAGCAACCACAGTCCCAAATTGTGATTCTATTTCTTTGATGGTAAGTTCCCAAGGAATAAGAATACTAATAAAGTTTGACATTTCTCGCTTGCTGTGTTGCCATTGCTACCCAATATTAAAAATTTTAGTATAGAAAACTTAAATCAAAATTTATTATTATTTACTTTCACAATAAGAATATGAAATCTAGCCAACATATCTCGTGTACTCTTACTCATTGCCAAACGTTCTTGTAGCTGACCTTCATGTTTTTTAACGTATTCTTTTGCTTGCTGTACCATTTTGATTTTTCGTCTAATTGACCATGGTTGTTGTCTAACACTGATTAAAACTTCTTTATGCAAGCTAATATTTTCGAATATTTGCTCTTGTGAAATATTAGTTTCCTCTATTATGATAGCTGTACTGTAAAATTAAAAAAAAAAAATTTTAATATTATTTATTTTATCACAAAATTAAAATATTTTTAAAATAAAAAATTAAATATTTTTAACGGTAAACCTATTACGCTTCAAACATTTTTGTTCTCACTAATGACTTAGTAGTTATTTTTCACCTAAAATTAATCTTCATAGGAATATAAGTAGGAGTAGATATTTTTAATTTCTCTAGATATACAATTGAATTATACCAATAAATCATAATAAAAATTTTATAAAATTATTACAACATAATGACGATATGATTATAATACGTGATTAATCTAAGGCATGTTACTAAAACATTATATATATTTTAGCTTTGATACGAAGATAAAAAGGTATTAATTTTACTATGATGTGTTTTTTATTATGTTCTATTTTTATGTCTGTTACTACTCAATCTGAAATCTTACTGGACCGATTTTGATGAACAATATGCCAAAAGATCACAAATTGTACCTAGTTGAAGTCATTAACCTCAAAAATTGCCATATATTTTTTTTTAAATGAACAAATCAATAAAATATTTTTGTTCATTTGATGTATTTTTGTACACTTTTGACCCTGTTCCTGTCCACAGTGGGGTTTCAAAATAGCAATTTTTCCACCAAAAAATTTAAACGGCTGCCGTAGTTCAAAAAACACTATTTTTGTGTTAAAATTTTCGATTTTTGATTTTAAATTCTTATCGACATCTTATCTTCTATGTGCAAATGGCTGTCGAAAATTAAAAAAAAATACATAGTTACGTATGATATTTGATTATACGTTATAAATTTCAATTACTTTATTTTCGCTCATACATTGCGGGATGTCATTGTAGCAGTGACAGCGTCAACACCAGCACAGTGATCAATCATGTAATATTTTATTATTATTAATTCAAAATAAACCCAGCACAGGGGAGTCGCGGCACAGTGGTGACGTGGCATAGTTGGATCAAGTATAATAATATCTGACAGTGCTTAAAATCACTATAAAAAATAACGCTTCGATGCAAATCTTTAGATAGTGTTTAATTTTAAAAAATTGGTGGATTATTCCAAAAGCTACATGATCTGCTAGTTCCTTATTAATATCCTGATTAAGATAAAGTATGTCAAATNTCGATTAAGATAAAGTATGTCGAATGAAAAAGGGATTATTAAAAAATATTATTTCTCAAAAAAAATTATGTTGATCCATACACTTTTCAATTAGTTATAGTATTATAATGTTAAAAATGTAAAAAATAAAATCGAGAATTTTCACAAAATAATAGCATTCGGTAGCCATTTTCACAGTGAAGATAAAATAGAGTCCGACATTTTTTTTCCCATGATAAAGTATATTACATTAGCTTTAATTTAATATATATATAAAAGTGTCAGACTTTCCGGAACATTTTCAAAAGTCGAGCTGAAAAAATTAATTTTTTGTGAAAAAGTTGTAATTTTAAATCCCCTCCTGTGAGCAGGTAAGGGGTCAAATATAAAAAAAAATATACCAAATTAAAAGTCATGATATCATGCATCTATATAAAAAAAATTATATTAATTTGGTTATTTTTAAAAAAGTTATAGCAATTTTAAGTAAAAAAAATTTCGAAAATTAGCGATTTTTAAATTTGTAATTTTTTTTGAGGTTTCCCCCATTTACGGGAAACGAGGGATTTTTTTTCAATTTTTGAGGGTAATGTCTTCGACTAAATACGATTTGTGATGTTTTGACGTATTGTTGAAAGAAATCTGTTCGGTGAGAGCTGAGAAAAAGTGGTAATAGACACAAAAAAAAAAACACACATCAAAACCAATACCTTCTCAGCTTCTCATAGAAAGCTAAAATAATCAAAAAAACCAGCATAGTCGGGTCGCGGACAAAATGAGGACGTGTCATAGTTGGGTCCAGTATAGATTTAATCTGACAGTGATTAAAATCACTATCATAAGAAACGCTTCGATGCAAATAATAAATTGGTGAATAATTACAAAAGCAATATCAAATTCTATTTCCTTAATTGTATCCTGATTAGTAATTCTCAGATTGAAAAATTCAATATATAATATTTATAATTAATATTGTTTTCAAATTATTATTATTGATTTTCATTTTTAATATGTTAGAATTAATCATTTTTAACCTACTTTTTTTTGTCTATTAATTAGAAAGTTTATAATAAAAAAAAAATGAATTTATTGCCATAACTTTTAGCTCAACCTGCAAGTTTGAAATTGTCATCATTAAATAGAAAAAATTTGTACTCTGTATTATCAAATTTTTATGTCCAAGTCAAATGGATCTCTCTATATGTTTAATTTTATAACGTATATATATTTGGATCACTCTGTATTTTCAAATTTTTATGACTTATACATTTGGATCATTCTGTATATTAAAAAACGTAATTATTGCTTCTGCTCTTGAAAATCTGACTATTTTTATAAAAATAAATTTAGAGGATCCTAGTTTAGCTAGATTTTTTTTTATAATTTTATAATAATTTTCAAAAATGCTGAAATTTTCATAGTAAAATTTTTTTACTCTGATATAATTGAATGAAAAATGTTTAAAAAAATATTACACTTCCCCGAATTTTTTTAAATTTTAAATTACTTAAATTATAAATCTGTCACCTTATCGACATCATTAATAATTATTAATGATGATGATAAGGTGACAGATTTTTCTATCCTGCTCTTAAAACATCGGATCACTCTATTAAAAATGTTTTTTGGGAAAGTTTATGATAAAAAAAAAATATTTTAACCATAACTTATAACTAAACTTGCATATTTGAAATTGCCATCATTAAATAGATAAAAATTGCATTGTTAACATAAATATGCAGCCAAAAAATTTTATAATTACTATTAACAGAAAATTTATCAGAAAAGCTGTACTTTTATTGCATTTTATCGTAATACATCACTTAAATAGAATTAGTAATCATTCCTTATTAACTTTTTAATTTAAGATTAACTAAAAGTGTCAATATTTCCGGAAAATTTTCAAAAATTAAATTGGAAAAGCTTAAAATGTCTGCAATAATTGCCTTTTGAATTTCCCCTGTGGTCGTATTTAGAGTCAGATTTTCAAAAAATTTATATTAAATAAACGAAAAATATCTAAAGTTTCAATATAAATAAAAATTATTTTCATTTGTTCATTTATCAAAAAGTTATGCCAGTTTTAATTATTAAAATAGTTCATGTTAAATAGTGATTATTACATAAAAATTTCATTTTTCCTTAAATCCGATGGCCATTTTCCCATAGAATAAATGATGTCGGGACAATTTTTTTTTTGGACCTTATAGATTTTATTGTAAGGTTTAATTTGATATATGTTTTAAGGACGCAGTATTTCCGGAACATTTTCATTAGTTAAGTTGAAAAAGTTCTACTTTTTTTACATATGTTTCAAATTTTGAATCCATTCTGTATAAAGGAGAATTGTCAATTTAAATAAAAAATATGATTAATGAAATGATTTTTTAATTTCAATTAATTTATGATTATATATAATGTATTTAGAAAAAAAAAATTGTGTTGATTCATATATTTTTTGAAAACTTATAGCAATTAACATATAATATATAATGTTATTATAACTATTTGAAGCGAAGTCAATCTTCTGTTACTAGTAACCCTACCCTAATAATCATGCTATACAGGGTGATTTTTTTATCATAACCCACTCAATTATTTACAGAATAAATATATTTAAACATTTTTTTTTTTTTTGGTTATCTTTAGTTACACATTATTCTTGAATTATTAACTATTTAAAACTTTTTATGTTCATCCCTTATGTCTTGTAAGGGTGTCAACTTTGTTTTTTTAAATAGGAACACATATTTTGAATTTAATAAAATGTTTGAGTTTTTAATTTAATAGTAAATGGCATTTGAATTTTTAGTATAACTTTATTTGTTTATTAGATATAAACATTTAAAGTTTCAAATTTTTGAGTTAATATATATGTATAATACACAAGGTATTACAAATACAGGTAGCTAATTGATTTTTTATGACATCAATATCAATATTCGCAGGTACACAAAATTGTTATTATCAATGGTAGTAAGACATATTGTTGTGAGTTTATAAATACACTAACTGACAATACAAAAAGTATATTTATTGATAGTCATAATTGATAATAAACAATCCGTGACTATGACTTCAATGTCATAAAATCCAATTGGCTACCTGTATTTGTAATACCTTGTGTATTATACATGTATATTAACTCAAAAATTTGAGTTTAAAACTTTAATTGTTTTTTATCTAATAAACAAATAAAGTTATATTAAAAATTCAAATGCCATTTACTATTAAATTAAAAACTCAAACATTTTATTAAATTAAAAATATGTGTTACCATTTAAAAAAACAAAGTTGACCCCCCTCCAAGGCATAAGGGATGAACTTAAAAAGTATTACATAGTTAAAAATTCAAGNGACACCCTTACCAGGCATAAGGGATGAACTTAAAAAGTATTACATAATTAATAATTCAAAAATAATGTGTAACTAAAGATAACCAAAAAAAAAAATGTTTAAATATATTTATTCTGTAAGTAATTGAGTGGGTTATGATAAAAAAATCACTCTGTATGATTTTTTTATAATGTTTTTTTTAAATTTCTATCTAGGTAAGCATTTCTGGAACATTGTTAATAATAAGAAAAAATATAATATTATTCCATATAATATAACCAATGAGGATATAGTTGCGAAAATATGGAAGGACACTGTGAATTTATTTAAAACATATTTTAAATCTGTTTACAGTCATCGTAATAGTAAGTTAGTCGAAATAAGTGTTGTAATACGGATATTAATTTCAGTTGTGATGAGTTTACTGTTACTGAAATATTTAAGACTACGTAAATTGTTTTACAATTCTAAAAGTGGTCCTGACAAAATCCTTGAAATAATTTATAACAAATTTTATTTCTCAGTAATTCTCACAATTTAACACAGTTATTCTATAATATTCATACGATTATTATAATTATAATTTTAATAATTATTTTATATACCAGCGGTATATTTAAGGGGATTATGAGCAATAGCCCCCTTGAACCAGCACTATCAATTTTTTTTATGCTACTTCTAATAAATATGGACCTTTGAAGATTTTTTTGCTAATCACTTTGATTTTTAGCAAAAAAAAGTCTATAGCAAGTTTATCAAAGTAAAAAAAATTAAATACCCTCCTTAATTAATTTCTGAATTCACTCAATGGGAATACCTCATTAATAAACGTCAACCTTATACCCAATATATTCTATTAAATACTCTTTTTGAATTTTCTTGATTTTATTAATTAAATTTTCCTTTTTTTTTTTTTATTAGAAAATATACAATCTGTACCTACATTAGTACAATAAGCATATGGTTTGATTTAACAAATAATAATTTACAATTGATATGTATACATGATTGGAGAAACCATCCAGTGATGGAGCTTCAGTGGCTGGTAAAGTGTAATTATTCTATATTAGCAGGTCTCTGCACCATTTTCTTTTTAGGCGATGTGGAGGGTTTTCAGGAAGATTATTGGAGGCCAGGTTGGTAATTAAAGGATTCGGATGTCCCTGTAGTCTCATTCTAAACCTCTTATAGTGGATTTTGGTTACTTCGACAACGTTTGGGAGGGAAGTGTCTTTGAGGAGCATTTCGTTAGAAACATAAGGAGGTGCAGCAAAAATTCTGCGTAGAACTCGTGATTGGAACACTTGGATTCTGCTTGTGTTGGAGATTTTAGCTGATCCCCAGAGTTCTATGCCATAAGTAACATTTTTTATGTAGTAAGTTTTGTATTAATTTTTGATTTGTTGTTGAGTAATGGCCGTAGGAGTTTTAGGCATTGATTTAATATTATTCTTTTATCATGTAAGTGGGGCGCCCATGTGAGACGTTTATCTAAAATTATTCCTAGGTATTTTGTTTTGGTCTTAATTGGAATTTGGGTATTGTTGATTGAAACAGCAGGAATGTTTTTTTGCAAAGAATAAAAGTTATATGGGCAGATTTATTTTCGTTAATTTTGACGCGACATTTTTTATATCATTTTGACAATTCATCAAGATGCAATTGTAAGTTTTCGGTGGCTAAATTTGGGTTTTCATGGATAGAGATGATTGCTTTTTCATCTGCGTAATCGGCTATTTGTGTTGGAGGTGGTTGGTTAATCTGAAATGAATAAATTAAAAAGAAGTGCTGAGGAGATAGCTCCTTGAGGAACGCATTCTTTTATTTCGCACAAATGAGAGATATCAGTGCCTATTCTGGTGGCAAAGTAGCGTTGGTTGAGATAGGATTTAAATAGTAGAAAGTAAGAGGGTGGTAGGATATTGCGAAGTTTAATCAGGAAGCCTGAGTACCAAACCCGATCAAATGCCTGAGAAACATCTAAGAACACTCTTGTACAGTACAATTTTTTCTCTAAATTAAGAGATATAAGATCGGTCAAACAGTGTGCCTGGTGGATTGTCGAATGACGTTCACGGAACCCGAATTGGTTGTCTAGTAATATGTTTTTCTTTTATTATTGGGGTAAGAATGTTAAAAAGAGTATTGCTTTTTTTGGCAACTGACGGGCTACTGTAGTAGCTGCTGTAATTACTGCAGTAATTAGGTCGTATCCAGTTGATTTTTTTTAAGTAAATGTATTTATGCAGTTTCGAACTTCTCCAGGTGAGAAGTGTTTAGGAGGTAATGTCATAGGTAAAGGGGATTCCAAGGATTTTTCAATATCTTTTAGAGATGGGGAGATTGGGAGATTGGGAGATCGTGATGGGGTTGGAAAACTTTGGATAAATGTTCACGAAAAATTTCTGTTTTTTCGTGGTCATAGATGGCCTAGGTGCCATCCTCTTTTTTAAGAGGGGGAACTGCTGAGTGGATATGTAGCATACTTCTTGTTGTTTTCCATAATGGACAGTTTTTAGTTGAGAGAAAAGCAATATGTCTAATAAAGAAGTTTGAACTTAGCTCTTTTAATATGCATTTGACACGCGATGACAGATTATTATAGTATTGTTTATCGGATAGAAACCGCGACTGCTGTCAAATTCCTCTTGCACGACGTTTTTGTGCAATTAGGTTCCTAGCGAAAGCGGGTAAGGGGGGCGAGTAGATCGGAGTTAACTGCAATTTTGTAATACATGATTTCCAGCGCGGCAGATTGAATACACGTGGTGAAATTGTTAACCGCGTTGTCTATTTCATCGGGAATTAAATTTTTAATATATTTTTATTACACTGATTATGATATTTTATTTTTCCTGCAAAACACTTATTGTGACCTACGTAGTAGGGTTCTCCTACTGGAAAAGTGGCCTACTTACGGAAATGGCTTAAAGAGGCTCACACACCGAAGACACGTGAGACTCGTAGGGCATAGGGCCTGGGATGGAGCCCCAGCTAGGCGATGCCAAGTAATCTATATTGTCTTCAAATGTTTTACGTATCCATATGTATTTTTAGTGTACTTTGTGTCTTTTGGGCGTTAATTACCAAATAAATAAAATAAAGATGCAATAATGGAAATATTAATGTCGTCCTATGGAAATATGATGCGAAAAATACAAAACCTAAAAGATATTTTCTTCGAGTTTTTTTTTTTAGCTTTGATGCGAACCTGAGATGTTAATAATTTTATTAAGATGTATTTTTTTTTGTATGTCACAACTTTTTTTAGTCTTCATCGGATCGATTTCTTTAAATGATGTGACAAAGTTCACAAATCAAATCTAGTTTAAAACATTGTCCTTTAAAATTGAAAAAAGTTTCCCCGTTCCGTGTAAATAGAGGAAATCCCAAAAAAGTTTTTAAATTTTAAAATCTGTAAATTTCGATATTTTTCTGTTATATTAATGAAGCCACCGATTTTCCATAAATATAACGTATATCGAGTATACATGTGGATAACACAGTCTTTTAAGCTAGGAGTACGAGGTTCAAACCCTCAAAATAACTTTTATCACATTTTTTTCTTAACTCTTTTTGGGTTGGAAAAAAATTAATAATTCTTTTGATTTTTATTTCATTGATTAAATAACATTAATGAATATCAAGAGCCCCATCACTGTATTCACCCTTTGTGGGAAGTAATTTCTTATTCTTAATAAAATATTTTTATATGGTTTTTTTTTGTGCCTGTGTTAGTTCTTTTTACTTACGATTTTTTTTTGTGTCATTTACGACAATTGTATTCTTCACATCTCACTTTTAATCAGAAACCAACCAAAAAAACTTAAAAAAATGAAAAAGAAAACTGAAATTTTGGTATTAAAAATTGTATAACGTATTATTTTTTAATCTTGAAATTAGAAAGCGGATATGTTATATGCCTTTTTTATTTACTTTTCTTAAACTAATGGGAACAATAAATTTCGGTAATTTTGTAATAATTGAGTAGATATATATAAAAAATATATTTTAAATAATTTGATGATTGTAGAATATTTATTCTATTTTCATATTACAAAATGTAGTTCTTATAATATATTTTCTAAAAAATAGATAATCTTACTCTCCAGAACTGGTTGTAAAAGCTGATGATCGTCTACGGTCAGATAGTAAACTGACATCATCTGGTAACATTGGCGATATAGGTGAAGATGAACGTCGTTGTTTAGGATATCTACATTTTCGAGAATTGAGTCTTTTATGTAGAATTGCATTAAAACTAGTCGTGTAATCTTCTTCGTTTTCTAAATATATAACATGATAATTAATAAAATATAGAAAATGTTAAGACATAATTATAATTTTATGTTATTTACAAAAGCTAATATGTTACAAAACTGTCTTTTATGATTTTTTATAATACAAAAGATTGTTATTTGTTAAGTGAAAAAAAATATGAGTAAATTTTATCAGGAAGAATTATTTCTTGCACTTGTATAGAAAACTTCAATTTTATAGGACATTATTTGAATTATTAATAAGTTTTTGTCTCTTGAAAAATCTTTTACTTATTGACAAAAATAGTGTCGTGTTCATGCATCAGTGTACAAAATTTATATGTAAATAATCTTTGTTATCGTAAAATTTTCTCACATCTTTCATTTTCCCTTCCCTTTTTCGTGTGTTTGTCATCTGTTATTGTAAATAGTTAATTTTGAGTGTTTGTGTTTTTCTGTTTATCATTTTTATCGGCAACTGTTACCTTTGTAATTATTATGTGTATAATAAATTGTCTGTCATTACTTTTTCTTTTCATTGATATTTGACAACTGAAGCCATCTAGTTCTTCTTTTTGATTGTGCAAAATAAATTTACTTTTATTTATTTTCTTAGTTGTAAATGCAATTTAGTTATTGTACTAATATCACTTTTTAATCAAAACCAAAAGTGTTAAATTCTTATTTGTGAACAGAAAAGTGTTGACCTTTTGACGGGATAATCACTTTCATCCGGCAAGTAATTAACCACATTAATGTACAACATTAATAGTTATTTGTCAAATTAAAAATAAAGTTAAAGAATAAACAGTGTCGCAATTTAAAAATTTTGGTGTTTTTATTTTTTACACCAACATGAATAAAAATCACAAAATTGTAAGCTAGAATAGTTTCACTATTTTAATATAATAACATAATAAATAAACGAAAACGGTAGCACAGTGGGGTCGAGGCACAGTGTATACAAGACATAGATAGGACAAGTATAGATGATATTTAACAGTGATTAAAATCACTATCATAAGAAACACGCTTCGATGCAAATCTGTAGATAGTGTTTCATTTAGAGAAAATGGTGGATTATTCCAAAAGCAACATCAACTTTTTGATTATATCCTAATTAGTAGTTCTTTGATATTAAAATATAATATATGAATAAATACTAATTCTAATTATTAAATTTAGTATGAAAATAAAAAAGTAAAAAAAATTTAATAAGTTTAATTTCTTATGTCTTATGATCTTTATTCTATGTCAATTAAATTATATAATATTCATGAAAGTTAATGTATTCTCCTAATAAGATATTTTAAAATAAAATAAAATACAAAACCTAGAATTTTAATAGAAAAATAGCATATTTTTGAATACGGTAGCCATTTGCGCATAGAAGATAGGTCGTCGGGACAAATTTTTTTTTTTCATTTTATAGTACATAAAATAAGCTTAAATTTGATATATGTTTAAAAGACGCAGTATTTCCGGAACATTTTCAAAAATTAAGTTGAAAAAGTTAGTGTTTTGTAAATAACTTGCTATTTTAAATCCCCCCCTATCAGCAGGTTAAGTGTTAGATTTTCAAAAAAATGATATCAAATGAAATGGAAATATCTAAGGTTTTAGTATGAAAAAAATTATGTTGATTTTTGAAAAAGTTATGGAAGTTTTAAATAAAAAGTGAAAAAAATTACAAAATTTATCGATTTTTAAATTTGTAATTTTTTTGGAGATTTCCCCTATTTGCGGAGAACAAGGGCAAATTTTTCAATTTTTAAGGGTAATGTCTTCAACTAGATACGATTTGTGATCTTTTGACATATTGTTGAAAGAAATCGGTCCCGTGAGAACTGAGAAAAAGTGGCAACAGACACAAAAAAAAAACACATCTTAGTAAAATAATACCTTCTCAGCTTCGCATCGAAGCTATAAAATGATATTGATCCATACATCTTTCAAAAAGTTATATTAAATTTTCGAAATTTTTTCAATTCTTTTAATTAAAACTGCCATAACTTTTTTAAAAATGAACATATCAATATAATTTTTTTTTTTGTAGATGCTTGATGTTTTTATGTATCATTTGATTTATTTTTTTTATAAATTTAACCCTTAATCAGTCCACAGGGGGGATTCAAAATGACAACTTTTTCAACTTAACTTTTGAAAGTGTTCCGGAAATACTGACACTTTTATATTTTAAATTAAAGCTAATGTAATGTAATGTAAAAAAAAAAAACACATTATAGTTAAATTAATATCTTCTCCGCTTCGCATCGAAGCTAAAAGCAGTTTAAATCGCTTACGATTTTTGTCTCTTTTGGTTTCTTGAAGGATAATAGTAAATTTTAGACTCTTATCTCCACAATCCAACCAAACTACAATCCCAGAGAAAAGAACCTGTAGCCTAAATGCAATCTTTTTATACCCATAAAACTGAAAAGTGTAGTGATCCAACAACTATGAGCTTTCACACGAAATGGAATAACTGTTTTCTTTGAATACCGATTTATTATTATCCACTAAATGGAACTAATAATGAAGTGTGTGTTAGTGAACGATTTTTTACACAATTTTTAAAATGTTAAAACGTTTTATTTATATTTAACCGACATTTTAGCTTCGATGCGAAGCGGAGAAGGTATTAATTTTACTATGACGTGTTTTTTTTTTTTTTTTTTTTTTTTTTTTCCCCTTTTTTTTT